GTAAAACTTTAAACGTTATGTGCTGGTTAATTCACTTTCAGTGACCCTTTTCTGTGCTCCTCTGTAATACATCTCCACGTTCATTTCATGCGCTTTTTTGTTGCTCACGCACCACTTTCGAAGCTTCATAAAACGTTGTATCTGTTCCTTCATCTGTCAGCCTAATCTCACGACATTGGCTTGTGACCGAACCGGAAGCCACGTGGTGGAAGCTATGTGGTTAGCCACAGACGTTTGTTCCGAACCCATGGTGGTGAAAGAGAAAATGGCCGAACAACTTGTCGGTGCCCACCAGCGGTTGCGTTCGCATCAGTATGGCCATTTTATTGACTACAAGTTAAATCTTGAGCTGTTTATGAATAACAAACCTCTTTGGCGTCGTCGCATTCTCAAATCATATGAATCTAGTGTCCAGAAACGTCCCTCAGATACAATATCATCGAGACATGGTAGGTAAATCAGCAGATGTGTTTTCAATTCGCTTCTTCAATTTTTGTAGAACCCAAAAGCAAGAAGAAGAAAAACCGTGTACAAAGCAATCCAAATTGTGAATAAATATATTTTACGAACGTTTGTGTTCAGCTTTCGGGCTCATTCGGTCGTTGATTTGCGTTGTTCAGCTTTAAAAATATGTTAGTGATGAGGGTTTTATCGACGTTCATTGAGTACGCCTAGTTGAGACAAATAACGAAAATGGAATTTCAACTGTACGTTCACATTTCTCAATCCAGGTAAAACGCGTTCGCAGTAGTCTTCAATGAAAAAGTGACAACGATCCGCCAGCATGAGAGATGAAACTGGCTACCTTGGGTGTTCCCTGACCTATCATTGATTTTGTCTCCGCTGCGTTGATACACTGATAAAAGGGCCATAAATTTGTTTATATAAAAATAAAAACAAACCCCTGCGCAACCGTGCCTCCATAGCTCAGTGGCTAGAGCACTGGTCTCGTAAACCAGGGGTCGGGAGTTCGATCCTCCCTGGGGGCATGGCGTTTTGCAGTTGCGATGATGAAACCCAATCAGGTCGAAACAGCTATCCAGTTCACGTGTTTTACTTTATGTTCGACGAATTTCCGGTAGACCTGATCCACAGTCCTCTCCTAACCAAAAATCGCTATGGTATGTTGACTGGGCAGCGTCCGACGATGTAGGGGATTAGAGGTGGCGCCGATATTGGCTTCACTTTTCGCCTCCAACATTCGAGACGGATATAGAAACTTTTTCATTTCATTGTCTAACTGAATAAGTTTTACATGAAAATTTATCCTGTGAAAGATGTAATACAAAAATGTGCATATGTTAACAATGCATCTAATTTTCCTCATTTGTTAAAATTGTCGGTAGACCTGATCGACAGTCACCCCCCCCCAGGCTATAGGCGCAATATTAAGCTGATTACACATAAGTAGCATGATCGCTCTTATATTCCATTTTCATGGATAAAAGACGAGAAACCGTGCATAAAAATTTATTAAATAAAAATACTTAGAGTAACGCTCACTGATGTGCTGCAAAAAGGTTTGAATTTCCATTTCAATGTTAGAGGGCGAACAGTGAAAACAGTAGCGGTACTGAACTTCATCTAGATGTTCCCACCTCCTATCACCAAGGAGCCAGAAACTGTCTTCAGTCTCCTCTTTATCCGACTCCAGTAGCCTTCCACGTTGTTGGTGTGGAGTCCTGTCGCCCGGTTGATGAATCCTCGGGAATGGTTCACCGTCAAGTGCGTATATCCCAAGGACGACAGCGTTCGATAGGCTGCCCATTCATCTGAGTAAATGATGGTACCAGGCATAACCCATCGTTGTATGATTGGCAATAGTGTGCTTCCCGATCGGTTGTCTACCTTTTCGAAGTATCCCTTTCCTTGGAATCGGTCGTACATCCCAAAAACCAAAACAGCTTCGGATGGTCTTCCTCGTCCATATTTACATTTGTTAACCACAGTTTCGTCGATTTCGACAATTTTGGACGGACCACCGAGCTGTTGGTTGAGGGTAAGCAGCTTGTGGGAACATATCTCGCGACAGAACACGTACCATTGTATCGCTGCCCTTTCGGACAATCGACACATGCTACTGGCGAGCACAACAGAAATATCACATACAAAGTTTGCTAATAATTCCACGAGCAGACACAAAGATATCCTGGAATTCTCGAAGAACGTGCCCTTTCGAATTGAAACGGTTTTCTTGCACCGACAGCAGCGAAAAACAAATCCATCGAGTGCCTTGGCCGATTCCTGTAGGGTCATAGCGTGACCGCAGACACAGTCACGCTTTTTTGCTAGCAGTTTCCGGTCTTGCAGGTATTCAACACAAGAGCCTCCTTCAATTTGTGATAAAAATGACCTCATCCACGTCGGGTGTGACATCTTTAGCGCACAAAAATGATTGAACATATAAACAAATTGAGGTGAATAAATATAATGTTGACCCATGCATATTATACATTTTTGAGCTGTATATTTAACAAGAAAATTTTCCATGTGAAATTTAATTAAAAATTAAACGAAATAAAAATGTTGAAGGGGGGGGTGACTGTCGATCAGGTCTACCAAATAGTCAATCATTTTTGTGCGCTAATTATGTCTCACCCTTCGTGGTGAGTACCTACAAGATCGAAATTTATTACCCAAAAAGCGTGACTGTGTTTGCGGTCACCCTATGAATACCGCGGAGAATAGTAAGGCACTGAACGGATTTGAGTTTCGCTGTTGTCGGTATAAGAAAACCATTTCTCTTCGAAAGGGAACATTCTCTCTTGTGGAGTTAATAGCATATTTCGCGCTGGAAACTCTCATTGTGCTTGCCAGTAGCATGTGTCGTTTGTTCGAAAGAGCAGCGATACAGTGGTACATGTTCTGCGGTGAAACGTGTTCCCACACTGCTTTCACTCAACCGACAGCTCGGCGATCCGTCCAAGATCGTCAAAATTGACGAAACTGTTATGAATAAATACAAATATGGACGTGGAAGACCATCCGAAACTGTTTGGGTTTTCGGTATGTATGACCGTTTCGAAAGGAAGGGATACCTGGAACAAAGTGGGCAACCGATCGGCAAGCTTCCTTTTGCCGATAATCCAACGATGGATTATGCCGGGATCCATCGTTTACTTCGATGAGTGGGCCGCTTACCGATCACTGTCGTCATTGGGATACGCTCACTTAAAAGTGAACCATTCCCGAGGATTCATCAATCAAGGGACAGGTGTCCACACAAATAACGTGGAGTCAACATTATATTTATTTGCGGCCCCCCCCCCGAGTGATATTTTCCCTTATAAAACGATACTACTTATGAGTACTGTGAACATAATTATCTAATAAATAATAAGTGTAATAAATTTGTAATATCAAGTAGAACGTTAATAATATTAGTTATACTAACAATGAAAATAGATTACAGGTATATCACCGAGGACAAAGATGAATAATTAAACCTAAGAATAATAATAAAAATATTCGGAATCTGAAACAAGCCTTTCTCGAGATTAACTTCAAAAGAAAAGACCATATGGCAATACTGCACGATTTATGTCAAGGACGATTTCGCTGCATCTCAACATGGTGCATACTGCAGGAAATACAATGTTTATATAGGGCTTTGGCATAGCAACAAAGTAAAGCAAAATACATTAAAAACAGACAAAACATAAAAGAGGGAGGGGCAAAAGGACGAATATCACCAGGGTAGGGAGAGACTAACATAAAGTTCTTTTTGCTGACACAGGGGGCTTCCATCGATTAATCGCAATCGCTTCAGCAATCCTTAGCAAACTTGCGACTTGTATACAATTCGAAACGCTGTACCTCGGTCGACCTGGTGTTGCCTCATCAGCAGATGTCGAGCAATTGTTGAGGACGGGGCATTGTAGTTTCGATCGTCGTTTCAATGCAGCGGACTTGACCTCGATTGGTTCAACTGATTTTGGACCCCATTCGGAATATGTTCCACCACCCGATTGCGTAATTGTCGCTCTGTTCTGCCCACGTAGGTCGCTCCGCACCCACATTGGAATTGGTAAATCAGATTAGAGTTGGCGTACATAGGAAGATGTTGTTTTACCGGGGGTGTGGGTATTCTAGTTGTCCGATAGACGATTTGGGGGTCGGCTGCATAGTAGGTTCGAGCGATTGCTGACCTCAGTCGTTTGTAGAACAGGCGGGTTACGTCATCGCCCTCGAATTGAAGGTACAATGTGACCCGCAATTTGAGAACTGACGCAATCGGTTCTTTCGCAATTGTCGGTTTGCTATGCTTATGAACAAACGCTTTTTTGTTGAAAACTCCCGAAGTTTTTGCAGTTCTTGTTCCAACCACTCCAGAAAAATTCAATTTCAGAAATTTCGGCCAAGGGGCCGCTTTGTATCAATCAGCTTATTTACGAACGGCAATGTTTAAATGTTCACTCATTTTTGAAAATTCCGAAATATCGCTATCTCCCCTCTGTTGTTAATAGCGTATTTCGTCCTGGAAATATTTGTGGAGTTCGTACAAACTTCTTTGCCTAAACCAACAGCTTGGTGTCCGTCTAGAATTGCGGAAATAGATTAAACTGTTGTGAATGAATGCAAATATGGGCTTGGAAGACCATTGCAAACAGTTTGCGTTTTTGTGATGTATAACAGAATCAAAGGAAACGGAGGCCTAATTGAGCCGGAAAAAGTGGATACTGAAGGTAGTTTTCGGCTCTGTTGGGTACAGGAGATGGGACCATTTGAACTTAGTTTTGTAACGCTATTAGCTCTACTTTTCGCCCTCAAAAATCGGGATGGATATAAAAACTTTCTTGAAACGCATCAGTGAACGTTATCACGTCGATTATTTTTTATTCTGTTTACTTTAATAGATCTTAATATTCACTTTCTCGTGTTCCAAAAAAGCATTATAGTATAAGTACCTTCGTGCTACTTATCATTAGTCCGTATATTATTGCGATTTTTGGCTAGGAAGGGGGGGGGCGACTGTGGAGACCTTTTGAAATATTGAGAGTTATCGTGTCGCCTAACCTGTATATTATTATTTTTCACCTATTCGGTTATCTAAGCGCTTAATTCTACTCATCAGTAGTCAATACACTATTGTGATTTTTGGATAACGGGGGATGGCAGGCTCCTCTTTATCCGGTTCAAGTAGCCTTCCACGTCATTGGTGTGAACACCTGAATGATGAAACTTCGTGAATGGTTCATCGTTAAGTGAGTGTATACCAAAGATGGTAGCGTTCTTTATTCTGCCTATTCATCGGAGTAAGCGATGGATCCAGGCATCATCCAGCGTTGTATGATCGGCAAAATAGTGCTTGCCAATTGGTTGCCCACTCGTTCCAAGTACGCTGCTTCCGATTCTGTCATACATACTAAAAAAGCAAACATATTTACAATTGTTCATAACTGTTTGTTCTATCTTCAAAAATATGGGAAAGCGGTGTGAACGAGATTTCACGGCAGAAGACGTAACATTGAATTGTTTACGTTTCAGACAAGCGGCTCGTCAACATCACCGGAATTTCCCGGACGAAATACGCTATTTAGCGCATGAAAAT